ACGTTTTTTTTAAGTAAATTTTTAGGTGCATATATGCATATTTTTTTAAATGCATATATGTATATTTCTTATACTATAATATTCGGAAGTAAATCACAAAAAATCTCATTTTTATTAATTAATCTATAAACATAAGAGTACAATTATTTTATTCGATACAAAATAAAATATAAAAAATAAAAAATGCTATAAATTTCAAAGCGTTTTCATGTCTTCGTGTCAATATTTCCTTATTTTCTTCAATTTATCATTTTTCACCTCTTCAATATTCACCACAATTTCTTCCAAATCTACAAGAAAAATAAAAAAAATGATTGATGCAAAAACACTCACAAAAATACACATGTGATTAACATATGAATCACATGCGATTCACATATGAATCACATGCGATTCACATATGAATCACATGCGATTCACATATGAATGACATTTACATATGACATCATATGTAATCACATGTAAATCACATGCGATTCACATATGAATCACATGTGATTTACATGTGAATCACATTTGATTTACATGTGAATCGCATATGATTTACATGTGAATCATATGTGATTTACATGTGAATCAAATGTGATTTACATGTGAATCAAATGTGATTAGTATGTGAATTACATGTGAATAACATATGAATGTGTGTGTGTGTATATATATATATATATATATATATATATATATATATATATATATACGTAATTCATATGTAATTCACTTGTTATTTACATGTGAATCACATATTATTCATATATGATTTACATGTGATTTACATGTGAATCACATGTGACTCACATGTAAATATATGAATCACATCCAACTTAATACAATGGATATTATATACGGCAAAAAAGATAATAATTGAGACTACACACCTGGAATCCAAATTAATGTGAGGGGATCCAAATACAATTCATAAAGCAACTGTAGGAGAACATAAAACTTGTTCATAAAAATTATTAAAAAAAACTAAAAAATCTGAAATTAATTGAGACTACACACTTAGAATCCAAATTAATGAAGCATTGCATTGACATTAGGCTTTTTTAGCATTTCCAGAATATTAAGAATAACCTTCAACCGACTTATATGAATAAGGTTTCAAATAACAATATTACAGCAACAACAAAAGTCAAAATGAGCCTACATTAGGTACCAAGGTTATCAAACAGTGGGAAATAACAATATATTACCATTTGACACAAAATCATGTACAAAGGTTTTACTAACCGTGTACAAAAGCATGTAACAATAGTTATTTTTCTATAAGAAATTTTAAAAAAAAAATGATTGATGCAAAAACAATCACAAAAATACATATATGATTTTCATGTGATTAACATATGAATCACATGCGATTCACATATGAATCACATGCGATTCACATATGAATCACATTTACATATGACATCATACGTAAATCACATGTAAATCACATGCGATTCACATATGAATCATATGTGATTCACATGTGATTTACATATGAATCACATGTGATTTACATGTGAAACAGATGTGATTTACATGTGAAACACATATAATTGACATGTAAATATATAATCTTTCTCGTACCTTGTAAAGTAAATAAATAAAAGTATGATGCTAATGCCATTGAAGATAATAAAGTTCATTAAAACTCAAATAATTTTAACTCTATAAATAGTTAATGAATTTTTAGTTACAAAAAAAAATTAAATATAATAAAGTTCATTAAAACTAAAATAATTTATAATAAAGGATAATACTTTTTAGTTGTTTTTAAATAAAGAAACTTGAAAGTTAAGTAAAATAATAAATGAAAGTTCAAAAATATTTGTGTCATTAAAAGTTACATAAACGTAAATGGAGTATATATTATAAATTCTCATTCCATTCCACGATGGAGTGAAGAAAAAACACCCAATGAAACAATAAAGATAATAAAAATACATTAAAATCCAAATAATTTATGATAAAAATAACACTTTTGGTTATTTAAAATAAATGTAATTGAATTGATGTAATTTAAATATTTGTGTCATCATAAATTACATACATAAAAATGGGTTTTATTCCAAATTTTCATGCCATTCCATGACTGAAAAAAAACACCCCCTGGCTGAGAAATGAAAATTAGCAAAATGATTCCTTCAGAAATTGTCCATTCCTTTCCATTGGGTAAAACAAAACACTACCTGAGTGTATGACCTTAATCACTAGAAATTATAATGAAATGAATGTTTGATTATAATAAGAAAAAAAACTTACCGTGATCTTTAATGGAGGAAATACTTTGAGCAGACAACTCCGTTTCTCTTTCATTCCAATTATCCTCTTTTGTCCGATAATCTACTAATTTAGAGCTTATCTCTTTGCACATGTTTCCAGATGCTTCTAATTCTGTCTCCAATTTAGATACCCTTCCATGGTATGCATCATTTTCTTCTTTGGCTTTATCATACATTAATCTAGCTTTCTCTAATTCACCCTGTAATTCTTTTGTTTGTTTAACCACAGATGGCATAGTATTCTTTATTACCTCCACCTTTTTCAACAAAGATGTAATCATGTCATCAATCAGTATTGAGAAACTACCAAATTGGTCACCAAGAAATTTGGTTTCTAGCATTCAACTTATCCAAAGTGTTTCCAACATGTAAACCAATAATAATACCCTCACTATCTTCTGCATTGAACTCTTCAAGCATCCCAATGTTCCAATCATTGTCAAATCCAGCATCCTAACTTTCCTATAAATCATAAGAAATTAGATAGATAAAAGAGAAAAAAAACATGGAATTAAATAACTAAAATTGTAAGAACTGATGATATTATTACCTCAACTGAATGATGCTCTTGAAACTGTTCTAAATCAAAACTACCCTTTATGTCTTTGAGAACACAGTCTATTTCTTTTAAGTTTTTGATTTTTTTCTCAAAACTTCTCTTGAACAAAGTGAATAAAGAGTCATCTTTTAACAACACTTGAAGACTTCCTAAGAACCTAGAGAGCTCGACCCCATTTATCATTACATGTATTTAACTCAGTTTTGAGGGTCAAAATCTCTTGTTCAGCTTTCTTCTTTTCCCCAACAAGATCAGAAACAGTGTTCTTATGGTACTCAGCTTCATGAACCGACCATTCCTTCAGCAATCTCTACTTTAATTTCCAATACAAATTAGTTTTTTTATTCTAACATTGTATGGAAATCAAACTAAACTTGTAATTTTCACTAAAAAAAGCCTAACTCTATAAACCCTAACTCTATAAAATTGTAAACAAATTGATTATAAATTTATGATAGAAATTGGAAAAGTCAATGAACACATTCAGACAATATACCTTCAAGTATCTCCACTTCCCAAAGGCCTGATATGCTTAAAATGATGAATTCCGATTATTTCACCATCTATAGTGATCTACAAAACAATAAAAAAAGGTAAACACTGTTAACATTCAAATCGAATTGAATTACAAAGCTGAATGTTAAGAATAATCAAATGCAAGCACCATTAAACATGAAGTCGGAACTCAAAATCTACTTTAGGAACCTGTAACAAAAAGGAGCTCTGATTCCAATCTCAAACATCGAACTCTATGTTATTAGGTTAATTTACCCGAGAAGCGAGACCTATAATTTGCTAAAATGTCCAAGTAGTGAAGCGAGACCTGATCTCATTGAAATCGAAACGTAGTTGAAGAAATTGATCGAAGACTTGAACAGCGCCGACACCGCTCCATACCTCTGAATCAGGAGGTATGGAGCGATCGGACCTCTGGTTGATTTATTAGGGCACGAAACTTCGAGAGGGAAGAAGGACGTAGCCATCATGTAGTTCAATCTATTAATCATTGGTGATCTTCATTGGAGATCGGTTTATGATATAATGGATCGATGAAATGGATTTTGTTTCCAGATCAACGGTAGCGGCGTTAGGTGGTGGAAATCATGGAGGAAATCGGTGATTGAGGTCGATCCAGGGAAGATGGGTGATTAGGTGAAGAAGACGAGAGAGAGAGAGAGAGGGGGAGAGAGAGAGAGATTTAATCTGGGGAATTAAAAGAATTATTTTATTCCTAAAATGCCCCCTGATTCATTTTAAAATCATACCCCCGTGTCTTATTTTGTCTATGTATTTACAAAAATGCCACAATGTATCTTGGCCATCCTTTTTTTTGATCCAACGCTCCACTTTTAGTTCTCGAGTTCTTGGGAAACTATGGGTTCTCAAATGATCATTCCTCTCTCTCTCTCTATATATATATATATATATATATATATATATATATATATATAATATATATATATATATAAAGTTGAATTATTCCCATAAAAATATATTTAATTTTTGTCATGTACTTATTAAATTTTTGTGGTAGGTCTTTTAAATGCTTTAGTTGTTGGTCTTTTAAAAGTTTATGGTATGCAAGCTAAGCACTATTTTTTACAAAAATATCACAAACCATTGTAAAGTTTGCAACAATGAACCAAAAATTAGAAAAAAAATAATTTAAAAAGTTATTTTATTTGAGTTTAATTGAAAGTAGATGTAGGCATCTGGATTCCGCTAATCCAAATCAAATAAGGACGGACTCTTGTTGATGTTTTTCTACTTTTTTTTTTTTTTTTTTTTTTTTTTTTTTTTTAACAAGATAAAAGTCCAACTTGTAATGATCTTTTAATTTTACAAATTTCTGTAAAGTTTCCTGCAATATCTATTTAAATATTTATTAAAATAGTTTATAATAAATTAGTAAATGTCATTAATTTATAATATATACTAAATTAAGAATATATAATTAGTTTGTAATGTGTTGAGTTCAATAAATAGTATATGATATAATATATTTTTTTATAAAAATAAATTAATTCAGATCAAATGCATCATATAAGAACTTCAAGGGCGTAAAACGTCATATTTCATAACTAAGAGGGAATAAATGTCATTTTTTATAACCACAAGGGGCTATTTATTATTTTGTAAAATTGTAAGTAAATCAATCCTAAATTCTTTCTCCGATTTCATCTCCTTGACTCTTCTCCTCTTTCATCAATCTCTCTGATCAAACCCTCAAATCCCCCACAATTCTCGTCATTAAAACCCTCCAATTTCCCCCAATTTCCGTTAACTAAACCCTCCAATTCTTCAACGATGATGATGCTCGTGTCCTGCTCAAATTGCCACACGCAATTGCAGCTTCCGCCGGGAGCTACATCGATAAGATGCGCCATATGTCAAGCCATCACCAACCTTGGCGATCCTCGTACCGGAGCTCCGCGGCCTCATACCGGTGGTTATCCGGGACCTTCTCCATCCTCTTATGCTCCTCATCAACCCTCGCCTTACAACCACGCTCCGCCAGGGCCTCCGCCGTCTGCACATGGCAGGAAGAAGGCGGTGATCGTAGGCATATCGTATAAATTCTCGAGGCATGAGCTTAAAGGATGCATTAATGATGCTAACTGCATGAAATATCTTCTGATTAATAAGTTTAAATTTCCTGAAGCTTCTATTATCATGCTTACCGGTAAGAACCTGATTCAAACCTTCATTATCCAGCTGTTAAAATTCGTTATCCTTGTACATTTGTTGAATCTTCTGGTAATCACATTACATGATAGAGTAAATTAAAGCGCCGACAATCTGGTTTATGCTTGATCGTTTATGCGATTAATTTGATGGACAGATTCTCATCAACAAATCCGTCTTAAATCTCTGAAAAATATGCAATTCTGTATTACATGTAGCTGATTTTGATCTTAATCCGGGAACTATATCTATGAATTTATGATTTAACAACCACTAGGTTAAATTTTTTTAAGTTCTTACACATATTTGGATTATAATCGCAGAGGAACAAACAGACCCTTACAAAATTCCAACAAAACAAAACATGAGGATGGCACTTTTCTGGCTAGTTCAAGGATGTCAACCAGGCGACTCACTTGTTTTTCATTATTCTGGTCATGGTTCACGACAAAGGAACTACAATGGTGATGAGGTTGATGGATATGATGAAACCTTATGCCCTCTGGATTTTGAGACACAGGGTATGATTGTTGATGATGAAATTAATGCAAGTATTGTTAAACCTCTTCCTTTTGGGGTTAAACTTCATGCCATTATTGATGCTTGTCATAGTGGCACTGTACTCGATCTTCCATTCCTTTGCAGAATGAACAGGTTAGTTTATCTGTTTATGGCTTTTTAGTGTAAATTATGACATAAACCTTGTTATTCATGTTAATCTTGAAGAAACTTAGGAGTTAAGATGATTCTAGGAATAATCTTTACCTTATTTTTGGTGTCATAGGAGTGGGCAATATGTATGGGAAGATCATCGACCTCGGTCAGGTATATATAAAGGTACCAATGGCGGTGAAGTCATTTCCATAAGTGGTTGTGATGATGATCAAACATCTGCTGATACATCTGTAAGCTCCACAAAACTTTTGAAATGACCATTTTACCCTTCTGTATGTATTAAGTAAAAAAGAAACGGCCCTATATATCTATCCCTCATTAAGTCAAATGAAATACGCATTTAAAGTAACTTTCTTTCTTTTCTTCTATTAAGTTTTGTATGGATAAATGAACTGTCGGAATATATGCAAATGACCATTTTACCCTTCTGTATGTATTAAGTAAAAAAGAAACGCCCCTATATATCTATCCCCATTAAATAAAAGAGAAACATGCATTTAAAGCAAGTTCCTTTCTTTTTCTTCTATTAAGTTTTGTGTGGATAAACGAACTGTCAAGAATGTGTAAATGACCATTTTACCCTTCTGTATGTATTAAGTCAAAAAGAAACTCCCCTATATATCTATCCCCCATTAAGTCAAAAATAAACACGCATTTAAAGCAAGTTTCTTTCTTTTTCTTCCATTAAGTGTTGTATGGATAAACGAACTGTCCGAATATGTGTAAATGACCATTTTACCCTTCTGTATGTATTAAGTAAAAAAGAATCGCCCTGATATCTCTATCCCCCTTTAAGTCAAAAAGAAATACGCATTTAGAGCAAGTTTCTTTCTTTTACTTCTATTAAGTTTTGTATATTTAAACTTACTGTCAGAATATGTGTAAATGACCATTTTACCATTCTGTATGTATTACGTAAAAAAGAAACGCCCCCATATATCTATCCCCTTCAAGTCAAAAAGAAACATGCATTTAAAGCAAGTTTCTTTCTTTTTCTTCTATTAAGTTTTGTATGGATAAACGAATTGTCAGAATATGTGTAAATGACCATTTTACCCTTCAATACGTATAAAGTAAAAAGAAACGCCCTTTTAAGGCGGCGTATGTGACACAAGACTGATGATGGAGTTGAGGAGGACATTCATGTCTTTTGCACAGACAAAAGCTATAGTTTTTGTCTCAATTGACATCAGTCTTGTTCAATGCATACCAAATACAGTACAATCTTTTCTGTCCTGTCCTGACATTATCATCTTTATTAATTATTAAAATAGAAAAACAATTAAAAGTAACATTTTTTTTTGTGGGATCAGGCTTTATCAAAGATCACATCAACAGGAGCCATGACTTTTTGTTTTATTCAAGCCATAGAACATGGAAATGCACAAACTTATGGACACTTATTAGCTTCTATGCGTAACGCCATCCGTAGTGCAAGAACCGACATGGGCGGTGGCGGCGGTGGTGGTGGGGCGGTGACTTCTCTTCTCTCTATGTTACTAACAGGCGGCAGTCTCGCCGGAGGTCTATCCGGTGGTGGCCTAAGCCAGGTATCAATATCATCTCATCTCTAACACCTTCTAAAACTCTAAAACAACTCAAATCAATAAACAATATTTCAAAATACAATGCTATAATAGGAGGAAATGAAAGTATGATTTTTTTTTGAGTAAATTACACGAATGGTCCCAATGCTTTGGGGTAATTTGCGCGCTTGGTCCCTAACTTATTTTTTTAACTCGGAAGGTCCCTAATGTTTGTTTTTGTTATGCGCTTGGTCCCTACTGTTTGTTTTTATTACACGTTTAGTCCCTGTCTTACCTAAAAAGACTAATTTAAATAGAAAAAAATTGTGGGGTATGTAAGATTGTAAGGTAAGGTGAAGGTGTGGGGCTGGGGTGTTTTTATTTAAATAAATTAAAAAATCAATGGCGAAATAGTCTTTTTATGTAAGACAGGGACCAAACGCGTAACAAAAACAAACAGTAGGGACCTTCCGAGTTAAAAAAATAAGTTAGGGACCAAACGCGCAAATTACCCTAAACCATAGGGACCATTCGTGTAATTTACTCTTTTTTTTTGGTAAGTGATAATTTTTTTGTATGTTTGATTTGTTGTAGGAGCCACAATTGACAGCATGTGAGCCTTTTGATGTGTATGCAAAACCGTTTTCAATGTAAGTTATGATAGTGTGATTATTTGATTAGTTGACAGTTGACCCATTTATGAAAAAAGGGGGTTCGGGTTCTTTATAGAATTTTGGTGATAGGTTTAAAATTTGTGATAGTAAAGGATTTTATTTTATATGTTTTGATTATTTATTGTTTTAAGGACTTGGATGATTTCGTGTAAATTTAATTTATTTTATGATTTTATTGTAGAAACATGAGACACACTCTTTGATTTTTATAGAAAGAAACTATCTTGAGTAGAAAAAGAAATATAATCATTGTGAGTATGTATAACTAAAGACATAAGATCACAAACTAACATGATTGTAAAGGTTCTCTGTCTAATTCGAGATGAATGAGTGAAGTATTGATGGTCTGATAGACTTTTTGGGCCTTACCATGCTCGGTTTTAAGTTAAATTGACGAATTTTTGAGTCTCGATTATATTATTTTAAAAACGAAAGATGTAGGATCGGATTAGGGTAAGATCTTAAGATTTAAATCATGATTTTGAAATCCCAGTATAGATTTTGTTTCAAATAGATCCCGATGTGAACATAATCGTTTTTTTGTACATACAAAATTAACAACCATATATAAACCTACGTTTAAACAAAGACAAATATATAAGTTTTAGACACTTTTCATATTTATTGATTACAAGTATACTAAAAATCACTATATAAAGTTTGTTGCATCACCAGTTTTCATGTAACATTATCACCCTATAAACTTTTACCTTTTATAAATATTCATATAGCTTATGATGCACCGCTCTAGGAATGCAACTTTGCAATTGAGGTTTGGAATAGAATTCGTAGTTGGTGTGAGTTCATTTGTTTAAACCCAAGGGATATGAGATCTTTATTCAGTGCAGATAATTTTCTTCACAAAACCCAAAAGGCCATAAAACTCAATCATACGATTCTAATGTCGACCTTATGAAATCTTTAGAGATCAAGGAACGAAGCAATTTTTAAAAAGCTGAAACCTTGTCCTGTGAAAGTTATCGACCAAACTATGACAATGACTTTTACTTGGATAAAACATAGGGGAAAGAAAAACTCTCTTTGCTGGAAAAATGGTGTATCGAGCCTATTGGCTGCTTTTGATGTTTTTTCCTTTTTTTTTTGTCTGTTTGTACTCTTTTGTTTTGGCTAGCTCCTTGCTAGTTTTGCCATAATTTATGTCGCCTTTTTGCCGTTTAAAAAAAATCTCTCAACTATTCATAAACCTTTTAAAAGTTTATAAGTGGTCCAACCGTTTTAATTATGATTTTAATATATATATATATATATATATATATATATATATATATATATATATATAGAGAGAGAGAGAGAGAGAGAGAGCTCTGGTTCAAATGTTTCTAGCAACTATTGTGTGCATGTATGCACCAATGAGAATTGAGGAAATAATAAATCATTAAATAAATCATTTAAGGGTATTATAATAAACTTTGCATATTTAATTATGGTAGATAATTAGTATGTTTATTATCCCTTTAAATATGGGATGTCAAAGTCAAAACCGGTAGAAAAAAACCCTACAATTGTCGTCTTCAATTTTCTCCCTCCACATCTCTGTTGTCTCGTTGGTTGTCTTCTTCATCGACCCATCATCATATATTATTCCACACAAAGCCAACGAGCACAACGAGATCTCCTCTGCAGTGTTTTCCCCCTGATCCCCTGCGATTCTGGAAGAGATGAGGAGCAGAGATGCACTCTGCACCAAACGCGGTAGAAATTGGAAGGCAACGAAGGCGGTTTGGAAGGCAACGAAGGCGGTGAAGGTGGAAGCCCTAATTTCATATCAAAACGATACAAAATCAAGTTTCTTAAGCTATTTCACTTACAGGATGAGATAGTAAGTGGGTAAAACCTGGATATCTAATGGATACGTCTCGATCTTTCCCGTTCCCATGAAAGGTTTTGCGATTTTTTACCTGTAATATTTGATTTTCGATTCTTCTACTTCTTGATTGTTTGCAATTCTTCCTCTGAATGCTACTGATTATAATTCTTCACATGGATTTTCCATTTGATTTATTCACTGATTTTCGATTCTTTGATTTTCGATTATCCTTCCGGTTGATTTCCGATTTCACTAGTATACCCACTGTGCTCTCATTCTTCTTTAATTTTAAATATCCATCATTCAAGTTGATTTTGTAATTTAGAATCTGACTTAAATAATGATAGATTGTTCTTGATTTTGCATTTGTTCTTGATACTTGATTGTTCTAAATTTGTATTTGATGAAAAGGGTTGAGCTGACATTCTGTCAGAATTTGCATGAAAAGGGTTAAGCTGGGGATTTTTTTTCATATCAGAATGCAAACACATGTTCATTTTATGAGAATATAAATATTACATAAAACATGTGTTGCTAGTAATTCTGACAAAATACATTTATACATGCTTTAGAATGTTTATGCATATAGAAGAAAAGACTATAATTTAAGTGCATTCTGTAATGTATTCTGTTAGAATTTATTTATATAAATGCATTCTGTTAGAATGTCTTTGAGAATGTTTGTTAACAACAAGTATATTTGTTTAACTGATAATACTAACGAGTAATGTATCTTATTCTTTCAGAATTGCATGGAGAAGGAATTCAATATTGATCATACAAGAGAAATATTTGGAATCGAGTTCAACAAGTATATATGTGAAGATCAAGTTGATTATATGGACCATTGAAGAGGATCAAGTGTATTTGTTCAATAATTGTATATTCAAGAATGCTATTTTTTTAAGAATTTTATTCATTTTTGATGATATTCTGTTAGAATATGTATAACTATATTAAAATGTATAAGGATATTAGTCTGTAAGAATATGTATAAATTTGTATTTAATTTCGGATGTATACTAAGAATAAAATCATAGACCCAAGTTGGATGTATATGAATAATATCTTATTCTTAAATTAGGTCAATTATCAAATATAACTGCATTGGAAATGCATTATGCAAGAATAAAATCGAAAATATAGTTTACTAGTTTATGGTTGTCATTTTGTCATTCTGACAGAATAAAATCGGATTTTTAAATTTGAATTAATTTAAAATATTCAGATTTTAAAAAATAAAGGAATTAATTATCCCTAAAAATCTGAAAATTTCTTTTTTTAATATAGGTTAATTGACTAAAATGCCCTTATGCTGAAATTTGTGTGATTATATGGTACATGTTACCCTATTGTAATATTGACATTTGATTCTATTCCATCAGGTGGTCCAGATTTATGCATTCCGACACATAATAGTTAGTAAAAACACAATAACCTATGTGCATATATATATATATATATATATATATATATATATATATATATATATATATATATATATTCAAATTCTAACCGTTAGAATTTTTTTTAAAAGAAAAATGAAAAAGTATTTTTTTATAATATAACCGTTGTGGAGGATTTTTCCAAAAACAAAAAAATCGGACCAATGAGATGAAGAGAGGGGGGGGGGGGAGCCTCCTCTTACTCATTCGGATCCCACACTCGACGAACCGCAACTCCGGTGTTATGTTCATGGGTGTGTTTATGTCCGCACAGCCGGTTCCCACTCCGCTCCTTATAACCTTAGACACAAAAAGAAAAATAAAGTGTAGGTGGTGTCGTGTCTCCCGTAAGGCTGAGTTACATAATTCATGTACTCGTGTCCAAACATAGAGAAGCACGCTAAGCACACGGTAAAGACCGTTCTTAAAATTTGACCTTAAGAACATTAAAAACTAACATGTAAACTGTTAGAGTTTATAATACACAAAATTGCAAAAATGTCCCCGTGGTATGCATTTTTTTCCTGTCTTTGGTCCAAACCCTAACTTTTTTGGATTGGTGGTCCTTTTGAGCTAGTTTCATTGCGTATTTGGTCCCTCCAAAAATTGAAATGATTGTAATACCATTGGTGTATTTATTTTTCATATTTTTAATTTTAATAATTAAAAATATAAGAGAGGGCCCACCTCTCTCTCTCTCTCTCTCTCTCTCTCTCTCTCTCTCTCTCTCTCTCTCCATGTACGAATTCATCCCTACCAGAACTACGTCTAAGCTCCATGTTCATCTTTTCTGGTCACTCGATCTAAATTTTAAACAACTCATAACGACTTCCTTATTATAACCTGGAAATAGATTTTCCAGCCCTAACAAAACTCATAAATTAACTTCCTGATTAAGGTTTAAATTAACACATAATAATGATAATGCATAGAAACACACACTTATAGAAGTCCAACCCGTATTAAGAAAAATCATGATAAATTGCCATGGAAATGCAGAAAAGAAGAACCCCCAACTATGTATACCGTTTTCTTTCCTCAATATCTTTATCCTCTTTCCATCTCAGTTAAGAAAAACAACTCCAATCATCAAGAAAAGGAAGAATCACAACTATTACCGTCATAGATTTAAGCATTTCCATCCCGATCTCTGATCAATGGCTTTTAGGTCTTCCTTCTTTTTTCTCCTCCTCATGCTCGCCACCTTCATCTCCATAGCCAAATATGTCGCCTTTCATCCCTCTCCGATCACTTCAACCACTACAAAAGTGTTGGAAATAGTGTCCATGGTCATTAACTATTTTGGTAATATTTCTAATAATAGCAGGGTCCTTTTGGGTTGGCCTCATGACCCCAATAGCATAAGGAAATGGAGTTTAATAATGTGTTAAATTATTAAGAAATTAATAAATTAATTAAAAGGATTTAATTAATTAAAAGATGTTGAATATTAATTAATCATATGGATTAATTGGAATATTCCAGAACCTACTGGAGGCTCTTCGAAGTTAGAATGGACGTTCCTGATGCCTTATGGATATAGATCGAGTTGGTTTGAATCAGATAAAGATAAACCCTAGAGTTTGTATCCATATGAGATTCTAAGAGCTACCTATAAAACAGACTGCTAGGGTGAACCCTAGTGCAAGTTATTCGTCTCTTCAAATTCATCCAACCTCTGTCTCTCCATCTCCATAACTAAATTCTCATCCCCTCTCATAAGGTCTTGATTTTCGAATAAACTCTAATTTTTGGGTTTCTTCCTTTTTGTTATTTGGTGTATTGGTCTAATTCCATTAGAGGGATTCTCCTTTGGATCCTTTATCTTGCAACTAAGTCGTCATGAACGAGATCACAAGGAAGTCAACAAGAGGTTAGTAATTCCTTACTTATGTCGTTTTTCAAAGGAGGATGCTATAATAGTAAAACATAGATCCTAGGTTGCATGTGCACTTAGGTATAACAGTTTGGATTTTTCCGCTACCTATATAATGTGCACTTGATGCTTAAAATCCCCAACTGTGGTATTAGAGCATAATTGTTTTACTTATGGTATAAAACTTCATGAAAAACAAAAATTGAAAGAAATATGTCAATCGCAGGGGCGGCGCGCCTATCCGGTTTTTAGGGTTTTCAGGATTTTTGCTGATTTCAAAAATCGGGGGATAAACCTCAAATTTAAAATATAACTTTAACCGAATAAATCTCAATATTTAAATTTAATAATTAATTTGAAATATTACTTAATTCTAATCTTGAATTTGAATATTTAATTAATTATATTTGAACATTATTTAAATCAAATTCAAATTTGAATATTATCTTGAACTTTATTTAATAAAGAAATTAAATTAAAAAGACAAGAATATAAATTTAAAAGCTTAAATTTATTATATAGTATTATTTACTTTACGTAAAACGTTAATACCACATGTGTCCTCACATTTAATAAAAGACTGTGTCGCTGAATCAAGACTAGAATGCATGGGTTAAGGAGGTCTCTTTGATTCCTAATGAGTTTGATTTTTAATATGCTTTGCGCTTACCCCTCACCGCCTTTCGTATTTTGAGAGTGGAGTTATTGAAAAAGTTCAATTGGATTTTGTCTTTCAAGATTAAAAGTATTAATCAACTAATAAAACAAAATATTTCTTTTTTATATAATTCGAAAAATGTGAGTCGTGTGCTTCTCTTATTTTTTAATTATTAAAATAAATAAATAAGTATTAAATTAAAATATGAAAGAAAAATGGAAAATAAATACATCAAGGGTATTACAGTCATTTCAGTTTTCGAAGGGACCAAATACGCAACGAAACTAGCTCAAAAGAACCAACAATTCAAAAAAATTAGAGTTTTGACCAAAACCCATAAAAATTACATGCAACAGGGACATTAGTATAAATCATAACACATTGATATCATTAAATCCGGATAAATAACCCAACACAAAATATTTTCAAATATATAATAGCTAGTATTTTACGATGATTGGCATCCACAAACAAAGCATATCGAGATTGGCATCCACTTTGTTTGTGGCAAGGTGGCTCTCGGCCGCATTCGAGTTCTTCATGTCCCTTCGACATCGGCACATCGTTGTACGCATACATCTTCACCGAGGGCTACTATATATATAGTCCATATATGTTCATAGCCCATTGTATATCTAGGCCCTTAGGTTAGCCCTTCTACTCTTGTATATATTATTCATGTATCTCTTTTTGAAAGGCAATGGGAGAATTTCCCATTCCATATTATTCTAGATCATTTTGATCCAACCCGACTTGATTTTGAAACATTTTAACCTGATTTGTTCATGTAACTAAATATTAGGCCCCAACCAAGAAAAATCATGGATCTACAACTACAACTGAGAATAAAAAACGTTACGACAAAATGATATTCGCTAAACACTTCAGTCCATATCAATGAAGCTGATTTAATCTTTACATCCTTTATATAGTCAAAACTGACCGGGGGTGTAATGGTAATTAATACGAATGTTTGAATCATTCAGAAACTTTCACCTTTTATATCAAAGTCACTATCATTGCTATATTGATTTTGATAGATACCGTTGGTATATGTTAACAAATTCTACACTTGTGCAAATTGTTTGACAACTACTTTGTTCTCATTATTGATCTTTTACCCGTGGTTTCCATATAATCAATAACACGAATTCTATTTATGTTACTTTATTTTTTTTTTTGGACATTTCGATATAATCAATAACACGAAGTCTCTTTATGTTACTTTATTTTTTTATTATGTCACCTTTTTATAATTTTATATGTATTTTTTTATATGTTCCTGCGTTTTACGCGGATTATAACCTAGTTTTGGTATACACCTCGATAATATAAAAATCTTACACAAAAAAAAACCAATTAAGATTAGCCTGGGCCACGGCCCACCCACAACAACATTGATATAGAGCTGCACATCGGCGGTCCAAGACCAGTCTTGGGTCAATCTTAAAACGGTCCTGTCTTTTTGAGGTCGGTCTTGAAATGATCTGGTTTTTTTTCGTGCCGATCCTTGTCGGTCTTTTTCCTGTCCGGTCTTTTTAGGACCGGTCTTTTTCGGTCAGGTCTTTTTTCGGACCAGTCTTCATTCGGACCGGTCTTTTTTCGATCCGGTTTCGCGGTCTTTCCGTGCGCCTTTTTCGGTTCGATTTACGGGTTTTTTTGGTTCGATTTCGGTATTTTTCTATTCTTTTATTTTGGTTTCTGAGTTTTTTCCTTTAACAAATATGTGATTAACACCAATATGATAAATTAAGATTTATTAAATACGATGATACTTTAAGTTTAATAAAAGAAAAAAAATGAAATAAATTAGAGAATTTGTGATTAAAAATTGTATAATTAACAAAAAATGATATATTTATAAAGTTTCGTTACCGGTCTTTTTTTCTAAACCGGTCTCGTTCGGTCTCGGAACGGTCCGGTCTTTTCGGATTGGTCCGGGACGATCTCGAGCTAGTCTTTTTTCAATCTGGTCATTTTAGGACCGGTCTTTTTTCGGTCCGGTCTTGTTTTAGACTAGTTCTCGTCGGTCCGGTCTGAGACCGGTATTTTTGTGCTGGTCTACATTGATGTTATAACTTTTTCGGGCCAAAAATTGATCCAGCTCCACCTCAGGGTCCAGTACAGCGTAGAGAGGCGGTGAAAAGGAAGGGAGCCAGCAAATCAGGCCATTTCAGAAATCGATACCTTGAGGACGAGGAGACGGGACGATTGCTTCACGTGATAACGGTAATTTCTTTCTTACTCTACTAATTTGATTGCTGTGTGATTTGTGATTCTGATTACTCGAGAACCATTGCTTGATTTTCAGTTGTGTTTAGTTATTTTCTAGGTTTGTCATAAAGCTATTTGGTTTTTCTGATATAAGTTTCAATGATTCATTGATTCTGAATATATTGATAGACATCTCTTTTAGAGGTGTATTGCAGAAATTTTGGTTAACATATGTTTGGTTAAGCTCAGCATATTTATATGTTTCTTCAACTTTCTTGACTCGGCTCATTTTGTACCTTTCATTTCCGTACATGTTTGCTTTGCTGCTATTATTAAATTACGTAGGAAATTCTTTGCATGCATAATCATCCCTTTGGTGTTTTTTTGTGTTTCTATCAGTTTCAATCTCAGAATAACCAAACCAATAATAAACAAAGCGCACAAACCTTTAACATTTGATCGCATCCACAATTAACAACTTACATACGTTTATGCACATGTGTATATACATACCATAAAAAGCTTAAACCAGTTAGACAAGTTCTCATGAATTTAAAATTTTTGATGCAGCGAAGTTGATACAAGAAGACATGGATCAACAACAAAGGTTAGGTATTTTGGGCATTAGAGGAAATAACTAGTTATTTTTTACTTGATCAAGATTGGACTCTTTTATTCTCCTATAAGTAAGGTACCTTATAATGAATGACAATCAATGGTTTATTTTTCAGTGTGGCCAACGATATAAACAAAATTGTGAGGGGGGTTGAGTCCATGTCAAACAAGCTCGAACATCTGAGCAGTCGTGTACAACATATGGAGGAGTTGCAAAAAATTCAAAAAAATCAACCTGAGTTTCCTCTTATCTCAGATGAGGAGTCCAAAGAGATACCTTTTGACCAAAACTTAGGTCTACCTGACTACCAAAACTTATATCTACCTGACTTCCCTGAGAATTTTAAAGATGTTAAAGTCTTTCGTAAGTGGAAAAAGAATGTAGATTCGTGTTTTGAGCATCGTGAAATCCCATACGAAATACAAGGACAACTTGTAGCCGAGACATTCCCAAAGAATTTCCCATGGTGGGAACAAATCCAAAAGCTAAGCCAGCGAATCGATAACAATAATCAAATTACATGGAAGGAGTTAAGAAGATGTTTATCGTTCAATTTTTTTCTTCAGATTGTTTGGTTTCCAACAAGGACCGATCGTCTCCTCCTCCTAAGAATATAGACTAACCATATTATACTTTTGATTCGGTTACAACTAGTTAGCATTCAAAACTACTCAACAATGTAAGGGGCGTTTGGTTCAAACTTTCTTTTTGACTGTTTTGGAATTTAGCAAATGAAATGGAATTGCATGTATTTGGAATTTAAGGAAATTAAAATCCTTTTGCTTTGTTCGGTTGAAAATATTTGGATTGAAACCAATGACTAAACTCGGAGGATATTTCCAACTTTAGTCGGAGATTCATGTTAAATGAAGAGGAGCATACTCCTTTAAACCCTTTTTTCATAAAACATACCAAGTATGATTAGCTATTTTGAGAGAATAGCACATACAAGGTGACCAACCTCTGTTTGGTCTTCAAATTCAAAAGGAAAAAAGGTAAGAAAAATCAAAAGAATTTAAACAACAACCATTTATGTTAACCTTTATATTAAAACAAACTAACATAATTTTTTTTTATAAATTAAATATTATCCTACTTTCAAAGGGTAATCTGTAATTTAATAATAAAATCAATTTATACCATTTATAGCAATGTACTTAGAAAGTACATTGCTATAACTGGTGATTTATGTCTTGCAACTATGAAACATCATGTGAATTATTCCTGGTTTAAGGGCCTATTTTTATAGATCTTTTATTCACTATTAAATGGATGGATTTTAATATAGTTCGTATGAACATATTTTGTGGTTAGGAGAAGTTTAAAGTCCAACTTAAATTCTAAATTATCAATGGCATATTAATGAACAGTTAATATGTGTTAGCGAGAAAATATAGAAGTATACTTAATAAATAGCCAATCCCAAAAAAAGACATAAACAATTGGATGCTAGTTTTCAAAACTCATATAATGTAGATCTTTATCCCCTTCCTACTTCATTTTCATAATAGCTGATGGTTTGTTATATGGTTTACTCTCTGTTGATATTTTAGGATCCTGGAGCCTTGACGGGTAAATCTATAGGAGCCTTCTTGGAAAGGAGAGAGGGTTTTTCTTTCTTGACCACCAATTGGTCATTGTACATGGCGGAATCAAGGTCGTCAAGAGTAAAACGTGCGCCATAACGGTTAGATTTGGATCCTAAAGCATAATAGGAAATTCATGTATCATTTTAGGATCCTTCTTATGGAATGAACTAAAGTCAAGGATCCTTACCAGTAGCAATAGGGATAATAGCAGTTGAACTTTCTTGGTGACTGGAAGGATCAAGCTTGAATGTCCTATCAATCTTGGGCAGAGCAAGGAAGTTCTCGATCCTATCTTCAGTATCGTCAGCGGGAGGGATTAGCTCGGCAAACAAGAAAGCTGCAAAAAATCAAACAAAATAAGAAGTGTGAATATCGGGATCCTTAATATAGAAATTAGAAAACTTGCCATTTTGACCCAAGATTGAGGTAAAAGATTTCCACCAAGAATTGAATCACGTTTCACGAAAAAAGTATCTTCCTTTCCAAGCGTCATCATTATGCTTTTACTTCAAGATAAGGGGTGATTTTTCAGTCTTGAATTTCAATAGGAAACAAGAGTTCCCGAAAGTCAAAAGTTCATAAACACATGCTAACTCGTTTAACCCAATGTTAAGGTCCATGGAACGATTCAGTCGATCAATCTAGTAAAGGATCCTCCAAATTGTTGGCAAGGCCTGGATATATGAGATTTTGGTAATTTCAAAGAATTCAGAGATAATCCCGGAAACGGGATAAGAAAGGCCTAGGGTGAAAGGGTACTTAGGAAAGCAAACACAAATGGGAGAAATGAAATCTGGTTGAATCCTTGCATCAAAAGCTTTAAAAAAAATACTAGCGGGAAAAGATCCAAGCAAATTCAAAGCTTTGATACGTCATTAAAGGTACAAGTTTCCTCGTAGGAAAGGATTTTCTTATCCACGAAATCATCATCGGGTATAGCAATGATGTTTGTGGGAGAGCGAGCTCCTTTTTTTTACCATAGTTAAAAGAAAACGAAGAAGGAGAAAAAGAGACAAGGGTAGTACTTTCGATGATATTCAGTGAACGTCTAAGCTAAAAGAGTGAGACAAAATTGAAAGACTAAATACCTTATTTATTCAAGAATCATGGAAAGGTAGAAGAGTGATTTGACCTATTCCAACGGCTAGAAATCTATCCGTTGAATTTTGATTACCCTATAAGTTAGAACTTTTTACTTCATTTTTTACTTTAAAATTATACCTCTAAATGTACGGAAACTAAAATTTATATTTTGCAGGTATAATTTGGGGCAATTGTTAGGGCCATGATCCCAGAATCATATTCAGGTTCCTTAATATTGCTGAAACCTCAGGATCCTTAAAATATATCGCATGATCCTAATTATTATTACTAATATTTCCTAACACCTATAACGGTTGTGTTTTTATCTCTCTTTTTCTAACATGTACAGAACTACTCAACGTGAGACTCATTCTCAATGGAGAGTCATCTCGACCAGGAAAAAGACCCGGAATGCCAAGTCAAACATCGTCGATATGTTGGTTTCGGAGGATCCCAGAATTATCGGACTTCTTGTTACTTGCATTAGACTATAAATAACACATGTACTTAGCACACCACACACACGATTAGCTGGATTACTACACTTGTACTCGTATTACCTTCATCATCTTTGCAATCTCAGATTTAAATCAATAAAAAACATCAAGGGGGGTGATCATGTGACATCCCCATTTTCACGGCCAGAAAAGACCGATTTTTGTTTACGCTTTATAAAAAATTAGAGTACTTCTTTTAATAAAAATGTTACGGAATTTGTTCCAAGAAAAACATGATAAATATATTATCAAAGCATTTCCGAAGAAATGTATTTTTATTCATTTTAAAACATTTGGGATGTCATCGTCAATACGATAACATAAGCATAAACAGAACTTACATTCATTTACACTAGTGATCTACATCTCTTTTAAATCTCTCAGTGTAAAGTAGCTTCATATCGACACCTGTGATACAAATAAGCTTGAGTGGGTCAGGTTGGGAAACCTGGTGAGTACATAGGGTTTTCAACCCACAATAATATAATCATTATGTTTAATCATCAAACAATCAATCAACCCAATTACCCATCCCCATTATCTTATTTACTCTTAAGGATCTACCCTAAGAATCAGCTATTTCTCTTTCATTCATTCCTAAGGATTATCCTAAGGAATAGACACGAAATCCATCGTTTGCTAATGACACATCTGTCAAGCACAACTGCTAATATTATCACTTAGGCGCAGCTGCCAGAATTGTGACATTCTTTATGGGGCGCATCTGCCGAGGTTATGATGTCCTCTATTAGGCGCTTCTGCCGGTAGAGTCCTTTAGGCACATCTGCCAGGGTTATCTCGTTTATTGACAATATCGTTTTCGAGAGTCCACTCGCAATTCAGGTCTATGGGTTTTTAGAGTACACCGGTGAACACATCGTTCACAACACCTACAGGTTGCAAGCCTGCTAGTGTTCCACTGGACTGTCTAGAATAGTCCGTGGTTGTCATCCATACTCTGCTAGATGACGGGGCCAACATTTGGGAAAACGACTTCTCACATCGTCCACCTCTCACCCTTACCTCATGGTCTATATCACCTCTCAACTCATCATCCAACTCATATTTCATCTATCCATGTTTTACCCAACATATTATGTAGATATAAATACGTATACAATTTAAATCATTTAAAACTTGTATAAAATCGTTCATCCAGCATAGATAGCAAGTATACAGATAATATGCACACATAGCATGTAGTTTATCTAAAATACTTCATATCTATGTGTAATATGAAAGTAACTATGCACTCACCTAATAAGGTGGTGACTCGGTACTCGGACAACATTTCGTTTACTTAAAACAACTTCCTTGGACAAAACCTAGTATCATTACCACTAGACTTTAGTCTAATGTTAACCGAGACTAATTAATAGTCTTGCTATTATTACTATTATATAAGCGTTAAAACAATACTCTTCACCCACTATGTACAGACAGGGGCCAGACATGGAACACCGGAGGGCAGAACCATTTTGGCATATAGCACTTCTGAAATCCAGCAACCCAAGCGACCCTCCAAACCAGATTCCCCGTACCGCGAGTGGTAAAAAAGATATTATAACGACACTTATATAACTCATAATAATAGCCCAAATATTTATTATAAGGTCCTAATAATATTACTATATTGAAACATAAGCTATACTAAAGATAGGTTAGGCGTAGCTCACTTACAACGAGTTTTTCTCAAAACCGGGCTCCGCTGGAGCAGCGTTCCCGAGCCGAAAGAATCTTTTCTCGGAGCCTTCGGGCGCTCCGGGGCTTCCGCCTCGTGCTAGGGAGGTTCCCTAGGCTTTTCGGGGGGTTTCGGGGCTAGAGAGAGGTTTTAGAGAGAGAGGGAAGTGATGGGAGGTGTGAGGAATGAAGAAGGCTTCACCTCTTATTTAGAGGGGGCTGGAGGAAGATTCACGTCATGAATTTCTTGATTTTCACGTCGTGAGTGAGCTTGGGCTCCAAGTCTGAGCCAAGTGCTGACACGTGGCATCGCACATAGGGTGGAAATCAGCCGATTTTCAAAAATTCATAACTTTCGCATACGAGCTCCGTTTTCGACGTTATTTATATCCACATGTAGGTAAAAATAAGATCTACAACTTTAATTTTGTCACCATCGGCTAATTCTCCACCGATCTTAAATTTAACAGTACGAGGAGATTATACTGTTAAATGTCCGCGTAAAATTCATAACTTCTACATACGGACTCCGTTTTCGTCTGTCTTTTTACCGTTGAGTTCCTATTAATGAGATATTCAACTCTCATTTAGGTCGCGTAGGCCAAAAATCGCTTGATCTAAAATTCGAGTTTCGGGTCGTGCACTGCTATGCCAAATCTTAGAAAATTCGTAACTTCCTCATACGAAGCCAGATTTGGGCGTTCTTTTTTTGTATGTTCTCGGTTTAACGTATACTACAACTTTTGTTTAGATTTCTAAGGCTAAAAAGTCCTCCATTGTAAATTCACTATTTACGTCTCCCGGTGCCGTGCCGGTTTTGCCGAAAAACTTCGACGGGTCATAACTTCTTCGTTATAACTCGAATTTCGGCGTTCTTTATATGTACGGAACCCTTGTAACATATACTACCACTTGGAAAAGATTAATCCTTATAAATAATCTTCCATAAAAAACTCATTTTTGATGCTTATTGTCTCTAAATTGACTAGCCCGGATCTGCGGGCGTTACAGATCATTATCACCCCCAAGGTTTTATGTTGCAGATCCTATAAAGGATCAACGGCTTTCCCTGTAACTCACTTGTCTCACCTTGATCTTTATTCTATACTTACATTATACTGACACCATATCCTCTCATACAACTTGGTCTAGTTGCATTTGATCAGTTTTTGACCGAAACGTGTGTGTGTGTGTGTGTATATATATATATATATATATATATATATATATATATATATATAGAGAGAGAGAGAGGTAGGTTCAAATGTTTCTCACATCTATTGTGTGCTAGAATGCACCAATAAGAATTTAGTAAAAATTATATGTATATTAAATGATATCCATACTTATAATTCATTTTTATGGAAACTAATTAAATTCGTCATTAATGTCAACAATAATATTCTTTTAGAATGAATTCGTATCTAGAAGAATGAGAGTGTATTTTAGCAGAATGAGAGAGTATTCTAGTAGAATACACTCTTGTTCTTCATATTCTATGCAACTTTATTGTATTTTAAATGAGTGAGTAGTAAAACAAAAAACGAACTCATACAAAAAAACCTAGATGCGAATTCATTCTGAAAGAATGTTATTGTTGACATTAATGACGAATTTAATTAGTTTCTATAAAAAGAAAATTGTAGTTATGGATATCATTTAATATACATACAATTATAGAAATAATTTAATATCTATCTTTATTTAATTAAATAAATTTTTAATTTTACAAAATTCCTATTGATGCATTCTAGCACACAATATATATATATATATATATATATATATATATATATATATATATATATATATATATATATATATATATGTGTGTGTGTGTGTGTGTGTGTGTGTGTGTCGTTGGCGCAGACGAAGAGTCGCGCTCAGACACGCCAAAGAATTCCCCAAGGCAATTCACGCCTAGCGGAACGAGCCCGACGGAACCTCGTGCCCGCGGACGCCCCTAAGTGCAGGGTGCTTGCGAAGATGGCCCGGCCCCACCAAGGGCGCCTTCTACTCCACGAAAAAATGTAACAAATCCAAGCAACAAGGAAGATGCTCGGAGCATTATCACCTGAACCAATCGTTGGCTCTAACAGATCAAGGAGCATGATTGCCCAATCAGCGTCCCCAATCATGTCGGGACTGACGCCTTTGTCCTGTACGGACTAGCAAAAGGCCTCGGTATAAAAGTCCTCCTCCGGTACCTTGGAAAGTAAGTCACCCTTTCCCAATTCACTCTAGAATACACCCAAGTCTATCCACTTACTTGACCATCAGATAGTTTTCTTGGGAGCCTCCTCCCGGAGAATGGCTGACGGCTTCTTCCTGTTGTGAACTTGCAGGCTCATCGGAACAATCAGAGGCACAAGGCGGAATCGTCCGGTGACCAGGTCGCATCATTTGGCGCCATCCATAGTGTGACAAACAACAAAACAAAAGCACACTCCTCAACACTCGAAGATGGCATCTGACAACACCGACGGGACTCGTGGGACACCGACAAGCCCCATCAGGCCTATGATGTTGTTGGAACCAGTTATCGCCTCAATTCTCACACCAGTTACCGGTGAAACATCACAACAAGGCAGCTTAACGATGACCACTACTCCAACAAACGAATTATAGGGGCCGACCGCCGAAGGACCAACATGCGCCGCCACCATAATGACACAAAGCGCCTCCATGCAAACACCACAACTGATGGTGATCTCAAGCATCACAATATCAACAACGGTGGACAACGTCAGTGGCATGTCGGTTATCTCACAAACATCACCACTAAACCAAATGGTGATAGAACAAACGATGGCTTTCCAAACACCGCCGCTAAACCAAATGGTGAGATAACAAACGATGGCTTTCCTAACACCTCCATTTATGACAAACATTAATTTCAATACCACAATACCACAACATCAGCCATTCATGTCAAACAACCCGCTCGTACAAAACCCACCCCTCCTGTCAACCCAAGCACTAACCTTCCCATTTCAACAGAAAACCTTTTATGGCCCAAACCTTGGGCAACTCTTGGCATACAACAACATGCTATTGCAACCATACCTCACAGCCCAACAGTATAACCTAGATGGTGTTTTCTCTATCCTAAACCAAGATTGCCTATCACGAAGTGTAACATCTCCATTTGCCAAGGAGCTCCTGGACTACGAGATCCCAAATACAAAAAAGTTACTACACCTCAAGACCTACAATGGAACCACAAATCCGGATAGTCACATCGATATTTACGAATGAACAATGACCTGGTTAAAGCAAGACGAGCGATTCTGGTGTACGTATTTCCTGACAACCTTAGATGGTAACGCAGGAACGTGGTTCAAGACGTTATGGCCAGGGAGAATTTATAATTTTGGCCAACTAAAGTATCTTTTCTTGAAAATTTCATGCAATTGCGTAAATACAAAGGAGATTCACACTCAATCATCGGTTGCAAACAGAAGGAAGGAGAGACGGTGTGAGAATACTTCAGCTGGTTCACTAGTGCCACATTAGACGTTCCGGGGCATGACGAAGGGTTAATAGCAGGCGCCTTCACGTGGGGCCTCCTCCCGGGACCGCTGTCCCAGAAGCTCATGGGGAAGAAACCCCAGACACGGGCTAAGCTAAAAGAGAAGGTAGAACGCTATCTGAGACAAGCGGAAGGAGAGGCAACGAAGCAAGAATACTTGAACGCCATGACCGCCTCAACCACAAAGCGTCACAACTCATTGTCGTGCCACCAGGAAACACCGGGCAGTGGCACACACTTTGAGAAAGGGATGCGCCTGCACGGAAGTTTTAGGCAATTCCAAAGAGATGAAAGAAGAGGCAAACAAACAGACGTCTAGGTAGTCTCTGATAAACAACCGGTGAAGGGAGGAAATGGATGGTACTGTGAATACCACAAGAGCAAGACACACGACGCCATCAACTCTTCAATATTAAAAAGGGAAATGGAGGAGAAACAACTAAAGGGGAACCTCATAGAGGTAGCATGAAGTCTCCGTGCTAAGTTCGATGCCGAGAATGCCAAGGATACAACAAGGTAGCATGACCAACCTCACGAAATCCTGATGATCAGATCAAAGCGGGGAAGGTAGGAAGAATACGTCGGGGTAGACAACCTCACCAAATCCATGCAAGGCTTAACGCTTTCAGCAAAAGATCCCCGACCGGCAGGATGGCGAGGAGACGACCCGCTCATAATCCAAGGGTCCATCAGAGACATTACTATCCACTGAGTATACATCGATACCGGTAGTTCAACATATATTATATATGAGCCTTGTTTATGTCTCCTCCCAGATAGGTTGAAGGAAAGCCTCAAACCTGCAACACGGCGGATGACAGGCTTCACAAGGCACAACCTGTGACCCCTAGGCACGATCCACCTGCCGTTCACACTGACCAGTCATGACAAGGAAAAGAAGAAGACAACCCTCATAGATTTTTCGTAATCTGGCACCCAGCGGAACACAACATCATCCTCGGACGGATAGCCCTACTCTAATTCGGAGTAATCCCGTCGATAATGCATGGAATAATAAATTTAAGTACATCAGAAGGGTCAGGGACGGTCTTGGCAACGCTACCAAGAGAATTACGGTGTTATGAGATCATGCAGCCGACAAGCGGGCAGAGCCAACAAGCGGAAGTGAAATCATCAACAGGGAACACTCGGACCAACCAGTCGGCATAGGTGGCAACCTTCCCCAACGATAAGACAGTAATTGATCAATATCTTAAAGAAATAGAAGCATGTTTTTTCCTGGACTCGTACGGACATGGTAGGAATAGACAGGGAGGTCATAGAGCACAAACTCATGATCAAACGGGGTTCCAAGGAAATTAAACTGAAAAAACGAGTTCACGGGGGAGACAGGAACAGGGCAATCAACGCCAAGGTCACCAAGCTAACCAAAGCAGGAATACTCCAGGAGGCAGTCTTCCCGATCTAGATCGTGAACCCTGCAATGGTTAAAAGGCACGACAACATATGGCGCATGTGCATCAATTATTCTGATCTAAACAAGGCCTGCCCTAAAGACTGCTACCCCTTACCAGGAATCGATCAAAAATTCGAATCCATGTAGGGTTTCAGACTAAAATGCTTCCTAGATGCGTATAAGGGGTACCACCAGATCTTGATGAGAAAAGAAGACGAAGAGAAGACAACCTTTTACACGAACCATGGGGCTTTCTGCTACACCAAAATGCCGTTCGGCCTGAAGAACGCAGGTGTGACCTACCAGCGCCTCTTCGACTCCATCTTCGCCAAGCAAATTGGAAGAAACATTGAAGTATATACGTTAACGACATGGTCATAAAAAGCCCAGATGATAGGAGATTAATGGAAGATGTGAAAGAAACATTCAAGACTTTAGAAAAGTTCAAGATGAAGTTGAAGTCGGGTAAGTGTACCTACGGTGTTGAGGAAGGCCAATTCCTGACATACTATGTCACCACGGAAGGAATACAACCGAACCCAACCAAGGTGGATGAGCTGATGGAAGTACCATCCCCACACACTATAAGGGATGGTCAAGGGATGAATGGTAAACTGATCGCTTTAAGCCGTTTCATTTCCAAGTCGGCAGAGAAATCCATGCCACTTTTCCATACTCTCAAGGGATGCATCGAAAAAAGCAACTTCCGGTGGACGCTGGCAGCAGAAACAACACTCTAGCGGATTAAGGAAGCCCTACACAAGTTACCCACACTGTCCAGCCTCGTTCCACGCGATACTCTACAGGTATACCTCTCAGCCTCAAACGAAGCCATCTCCTTGGTATTGGAAGTATAAAGGAAAAGAAAGAAAGCGTGGGTCTACTTCGTCAGTCGATCCTTACAGGGCCCAGAGACCAACTACCATATCCTTGAAAAACTAGTGCTTACACTCATCTGTGGAGCACGACGCTTGTGGCACCACTTCCAAGAATATTAGATAGAGGTATTGACAAACTGCCCAATCAAAAAAATATTACTCAAACCAAAAATGTATGGACGCCTCGCAAGATGGGCAATCGAGCTGGAGGAACATGAAATTAGCTACCGCCCACATACCAACATCAAAGGGAAAGCGTTGGCAGATTTTCTCCTCGAGACTCCAGGCGAAGTGAAAACAGCCATCAGAAGAAAGAGTTACCAGGCCCAGGCCGGCCAAAGGACGGCCAGGGATGGACTTTGTACACCGATGGGGCATCTAGCAAAGAAGGATCGGGAGCGGGCCTGATCCTAACAAGCCCAGTGGGTGTACAGATCACCTACGCCCTTCGCTTCGACTTCCATACATCTAACAAGGAGGCCGAGTATGAAGCATTGTTTTCCGGCATGCGAATGGAAAGACAAATGGGCGCAGACATGATAACAGCCCTGACAGAGTCAAGATTAGCAGCTAACTAGATTAATGGAGAGTTCGAAGCAAGAGACAAACGAATGGAGAAATACGTAAAGGGCGTTCAAAGGCTCGTCGAGCCCCTCAAAGAGTTCACCATCAAGCAAATTCCAATAGGGGAGAACAGAAGAGAAGACGCCCTTAGCAAGTTAGCATCGACATGCTTCGACCACCTATCCAAGAAGGTTTTGGTGGAGGTACTCAAGGAAAGGAGCATAGACGAGCAACATGTACACACTTTGACACCATCACGACACACCTGGATGACACCAATCTTCGAGTACCTGCAACACGACATCCTACCGGATAGCCATGAAGAAGCTAGAAGAGTAATAATTAAAGCACCATTGTATACAATCATAGAAGGAGTACTATACCAAAAGGGTTCATGATGCCGTAGCTAAAATGAATAGATGAAGCTAGGGGCAAAGAAGCACTTCGAGAGGCACACTCAGGCCCAACGGTCGTGCATGAAAGGTCTTCAAGTAAATACCTACCTTTCCTGAAGGAGGAGAAAGGATCATCGACTCGGCCGTCAGAAACTCTACACCGTCAACCAAAGAGAAGCTGTAAGCATCGCTGAGAAGTTTAAACTTGGCCTCAGAAGGAACAATGCCGGATTGATCAGCCATTAAACCAAACGGGGAAGCGAATAAAATCCTAGTCGAAGAAGAAGGAGAAATAAGAGGAAGAGGTTGTGTTGATAGGAAAAGCCCTTAACCTTATAAAGAATAAGGAAAGGAGGGATATTCAAAATCCCTGACGCAATGATGTAACTTAATGTCATAACGGGCAATCACGCCGACTGAAAAAACGAAGCGACGATTGAAACAGAGCTCAACGCGTGTACCAAGAAGTTAAGTCCAGAACATCATAGCTAGTCTAGCAACACTACGACAACTAGAATAGGGGACTTGATGATGTTCCGTTGGCAAGAATGAAGAGTCACGCTCAGACGCACCAGAAAATTCCCCAAGGCAATTCGCACCTAGCGGAACAAGCCTGACGGAACGTCGCACTCGCGGACGCCCCTAAGAGCAGGGCGTATGGAGAAGGCATGTCCCCGCCAATTGCGCCTTCTACTCCGCGACAAAATAGAAGGGATTTGGGCAACAAGGAAGACGCTCAGAGCATTATCAATTAAACCAATAGTTGTCTCTGACATATAAAGGAGCATGATTGCCCAATTAGCGTCCCCGATCCTGTCAGGTCTGACGCCTTTGCCCTGTACGGACTAGTAGAAGGCCTCAGTATAAAAGGCCTCCTCCAGTACCTTGTAAAGTAAGTTGCCATTTCCCAATTCACTCTAGAATACACCTAAGTGTATCCACTGACTTGACCATCGGAGCGTTTTCCCGGGAGCCTCCTCCCAGAGAACGGATGACAGCTTCTTCCTGTTATGACCTTGCACGCTCATCGGAACAATCAGAGGCACAAGGCAGAATCGTCTGGTGAACAGGTCGCATTAATATTTTATTTAGAAAGTACATATCG